GATATCTCAACCCTCACCCCCCCTCTCTCTATCAGAATCTCTCTACCCCCATCCCCCTCTCTCTCTCTTTCTGCCTCTCTCTCCCTCTCTCTCTTTCACATCAAGAGCTATTCTAACCCGCCACAAATATTAAGCACTCGCAATCTCTTCTCCATAAGTGGCTGACTGCGCCCTGGTGGGATTTGCCTCCGTTCTTCGCTCTCCTATCATCTATCACCCTGTCTCTCCTCTTTCTTTTCTTTGTGATTTACTCTCTACTAACACCCCTTATCTTCGGCACGTACCTGACCAAATTGTGTTGCAAGTGTCGTCATACTCTTACTAAAACTAAAACCTATCTTCTTCCCCTCCCCTCCCCCCCCCACCCCAGGGTTCGATCCCGCTCCATCTGGCAGCAGGTAACGGCCACACATCAGTTGTCAGCCTGCTACTGAGCAAGTCCACTTACCAGATCCACACCAAGGACAGGCGCGGCAGAACGGCTCTGCTCAGGGCCGCGGCCAGTGGGCATTATGAGATGTGTGCCTTGTTACTGGGACAGGGGGCCGATATCAACACTGCGGATAAGGTCTGGTTTCGGTGATGTTGGCTTTGGGAACTGTTGTTGTTGTTGTTGTTGTTGTTGTTGTTGTTGTTGTTGTTGATGTTGTTGTTGTTGTTGTTGTTGTTGTTGTTGTAGTGTTGTTGTTGCTGTTGATTTTGTTGTCATTGTTGTTGTTGCTTCTGCTGTTGTTTCTATTGTTATTATTGTTGTTGCTGCTGCTTCTGCTGCTGCTGTTGTTGTTGTTTCTTCTTCTTCTTCTTCTTCTTCTTCTTCTTCTTCTTCTTCTTCTTCTTTTCCTTCTTCTTCTTCTACTTCTAACTGCTGCTTCTTTTATCATTGCTTTTCTTGTTGAAGTAGTTATTGCTGATGGTGTTGCTTTTGATGGTGATGTTGTTGCTGTCCCTGTTGCTGATCGTTTTAGTTGTTTGTTTGTTTGTTTGTTTATTTGTTAGTTTGTTTTCAAATCCCTCGACATTGTCAGTATTCAGCATTACAGGTGAGAGGAAAGGTAGCTACATTATCCTGCCACCCTAGAATTACAAAGCTCTATCTGCTCAGTACCTGGTTCTGAAAAATTTGACGTTGAAATGTTTGAGTTCACAACCTGTCAAACTTTTTCGAATGCAATTCTCTGAATACCTCGATAATGACTCAGATTAATCTTACGATTTGGATAGAGCAGATAGAACATTAAGTTTCTTACCTCTTGGTCTTAGTAACTCTATACGGCCAAAAATACCAGATAGAACTTTGTAATTCTGAGGTAGCGATCTGACTACATCTAATAATAATAGACAGCATTTGTATAGCGCAAATCCCCGCTCAACAACAATTATCTTCACAATCTATACAATTACCCCAGTAGACATGAGAGCATTCTGAAACAAACTCAGCTTCCTGGGAAGCATACAGTGCAAGCGGCCATTTATATGCGCTAAAACACTAATATGCTGACAAGATCTTTCGCTGCCTATGGTCGGGTACCTATTCCCACCTGGGTGAAGTGAGGAAAATTCATTGTGTAAAGAGCCTTTCCCAAGGACACAACGTTGGGCCCGCGGCTCGAACCCCGAACCCGTCCGTAACCTCACGATTCCGAGTCCGGTAGCCCGAACCTCGAACCCGTGACCTCACGATTTCGAGTCCGGCACCCTTGCCACTGGGCCACCGAGGCCACATTATCTCACTCACCTGAGTTTCTGTGAGGTGAAGCGTGGCCGCCAGACCCGCCCTCTCTGAGCTGGACAGGTAGCGCTTCATGTCGAACGTGGACTCCAGCTGGAACACCTGTTGGCATCACACAGGGAAGGGAAATTTTGATTAAAACTTTAACAAAATAGCGG